CTCAGATGTCTCATAAAGTATAACTTTTAACATTGCATTTTAATTTGCAAGTATCTCTTTTTAAGCTCATTTTGGATTTCTTCACTTTCTGATTTCCCCCCCTCCCTCTTTTTTTTGTTATGTTGTGGTGGGCTGTGTTGAAGGAACTTCAGTTTGAGTGTGTTCCGACATCTCTTATGGAGCAAGTAACCGCCTTTCTGAATGTAAGTACTTAATCGAGTTCTGCTTTCTATGGTATGATTGGTGTCTCATGATTTAATCTGTGTAGGATGTTAGAGAAGACCTTAGATGTTCTATGGTTAAGGATGCAGAGACTATCAAGAACGAGAGCTTAAGCATCAATAAAGATCCAAAATGTGTGGAACTATCAATAAATGCAGACAAAGACAAATTGCAAGCACAGCTACCTAAGGATATACCATTGGATTTTCAGAAAAAGGTTATTATAGCCAAACATGAGAAGCAAGAAGCCAACTCTGATATTTTCTTGGGAAAAAATGAAACTTACAAGCGTCTTATGGGTATGTAAACAATGGGAATTGACTGCTTATGCAAAAATGGTTAACTGAATTCTTTCTTCAAGAAGCATAGTGTATGGTAGTTGAACCATGTTTTGAACATATATGTCTTCTATCAATGGTCTAATGGCAATTCATAGAAAGTTCTTAGCCCTAGTTGAACATTTAAAATTGATTACCTCCATTTTCCTGATTTTAGATATTGAAATGCGGTTAACTGCCTTTTTGTATTGCATGGTCTATCTTTTCCTATGGAGTAGGGATAAGGTTGTAGCCATAAATATTATTTTCATGTTCATGTGAGGTTGAATCATAAGCCTTAAAAGGAAGCAATTCTTGTAATTTCTTCACAGCATGGTTTTGACTTTACCAGGATAAGTTATTAGACAAGCATATAGCTGACGGCATTTTTATTGAGCAAGAACAAGATATGGGTCGGCCCATAAAGTCTCTTGTGGTAATATATCTCTTCTATTTTTCTTTTTTGTTTGTAGAGAGAGGTTGCAAGTGTTGAACCAACAATAATTACCAATGTGTGAATAACAGGTCGTTATCTCCTGGGGATGTTTCTTCCAGCGAAATAAGGTTGTGAATAGAATGATTGAATTTAAAATCTGAAAATTGAAATATTTGCTATTGAGTTGTGTAGTATATGCAAAATTTAGTTTCCATGTTTTCCTGAAGTATGTGAAACCGAATCTGTTATTGTTTAGTTTCAATAATTTTCAAGATTTTATTGTTTGGTGAAAGAAATGAAGCTTCTGGGGTTTGAATATGACCAAAACTATGCATACCTTCTCCTCTTGCAGGACTTGTGTGGCTAGAAATTTCTCATTCATCTGATAACTCTCTGTTTAGATAATTTGGCATGGAAGTTGTAACTGTTTCTAGCTCTGCTTCGAGGACTACACTAGGATTGAGTGCAACACTTTCATCTTACCGATCTCCATTTAAAAAACCTTTAATTAAAGTGCTTGAATTGGTGGAGAATGTTGGTGCTATTAGTGATGTTTCAGGAAAAGCAAGATTGTTTTTGGTTCTTCCTGTGGCACTCTTGGATGCTTTCTTCATTCTTTGGATATTTACCTCCCTCTCTGCAACCCTGAATAAGCTTCAGGTATATTTAGTTATATTATTATTGTTTTATGGAAAAACGTTTTGATCATGTTCATTATGTGGTCCTTTGACAATACCATGCTATGCTAGCAAAGATTCAAATATTAATTAGTTTTTTTGGAACTGCAAGTTCATACTTCTATATTTGGGCTCAATGTGTTGCATATCTAGCTAACAATAGGAGTCAAACATTTTTGTTTATTAGTCTATATATCATATGGTATTTTAATCAGGTTAAACATACTCTAGGAAGAAAAAAAAGAAGAAGAAGCAAAAACAGAAAACAAAAATGTGAAGATAAGTTCTATTTAATAATTAATTGTCAATTATTTTCTTGTCTCCACATTGAATATTTTCACATGTGGCAGCTATACTTACTCGGGAGAAGCAAGTGAAGAGTTTGACAGGGATGATAATACTTTGACACTCATAAAACCATCTCCTATGCCTTCAAAGGCTATTCGAAGTCCACTTGAAGTCGGATCAGTACACAGTGGAAACAACGGGGTATCGAACGGTGATTTGGAAGAAGACAGGACAGAATAATTTGAAACCTAACTCTGTTTGATTGTGAGAAACTATTTAACTCCGAATGATCATCATGATGAATATGAAGTTGCTACATGTAGAATTTATGTGAGAGGAGAGGGAAAAAGCCATTGGAGGGAATATGATGAAGCTTTTTTTATTTGTTCTTGTTCTTTTACTTTTTTCTCCCCTCTAATTCTTTTTATCTTGTTTAATTGGATTATAGCGTACTGTATGGTTCCAAATGTATCATCTGTTGCATATAGTTTAGGCTCATCTTTGGATATAGTTGGAAGACAAGTGGTATTTTTAATATTATAAGCCATATTAGTGTGCTTTCTATTCCTTTTTAATTTTTTTGGGCAAATTATACTTCTAGACCATTTTGATTTTAATTGATGCATTTAAAGTCAGAATTGTTTCTATTCTTAGGTATGCAATGCATTGTTTTTTATTTTTAATTTTGTTTTCAAGCTTAGTTTATTTATTATTTTAATAAACATTAATTATTAGTTTTTAATAATTGTTTGCCAGGTTTTTTTTTTGTTCAACCATATAAAATTAAAACAATCTAAAAATTAAAAAAAAGGCTATGGCGGCGTTTAAAAAACGTCACTATATCCCATCCCAACGGCTAGATTTTTAAAATGTATAAATGTCTATGACGGCGTTTTCAAAAACGTCGCTAAATGTCAGAGTGACGTCACAGTACAGTTAGGGTAGGATATTTGGCGGCGTTTTTAATACTAATATAACAACGTTTTTAAATGCTATAAAACGCCATAAAGTTATAGCGACGGCCGTGTCGTCGGCGTTTGGTACTAAACGCCACAAAAAGAATTAGCGACGTTTTTAGTACTTTTAGCGGCGTTTTTTAAACGCCGCTAAAAGTGAATTTTCCAGCAGTGACTCGATGAGTTCTATATATTCAACGATTCAGATTATCAAAATGGGACTTGTGGTGGCCCCACGGTCCGAACAGCACAGTCCAAATGGTTGCCCGCGAAGGAGGCAATCATTTCCTTATCTTCTTCCCCTTGCACAGAAAACGCGCCTTACAGCCTATTCTACTTTACTTCTCCAATATACTTAGGGTTGTTTGAGATGATTTAAATAAGTGCACTTATTGACTTTTTATGAAATATAGATTCGATATGGGTTGGGTTTGAAGTGATGCGATAGAAGGGTGATGCGACTTAAATAAAATAATGTGACTTAAATAGGATAGTAACTTTTTGACTTTTTAACTTTTTTAGGTTATGACAAACAAAGTCTTATTTATACAATTTTTTATTACATATTTTTTCATAAAAAGATAAAAAGTTAACGCAAACATCCATCTTTTTTTCCTCAATTTTTTAGTCTAAAAAGAAAAAAGTACATTTATTTAAAATACCTCAAATAACCTAAAAATTTGATAAATGATTGGAAATGGCTTCACTTATATTTTTTTGATAACTAGAGAAAAATTATTATTAAATGATATGCAATTTATGGGAGTTAGAGAATAAGGCCAAGTTTGGGTACTTCCAAAAAAGCCAAAAAGTCAAAAAGTTACTCAAAAAGTTAAAAAGTTAACACTATTCACCAAAAGTCAACAATTACGGCTGCACAATTCCCAATTCAAATTTTTCCCTACAAATCAATTTTTACAATTTTTTATTACACATTTTTCAATAAAAAGTCAAAAAGTTAACCCAAACATCCATATTTTCAACCTCAATTTTTTAATCCAAAAAGACAAAAAGTGCACTTTTTTAGTCTTCCCAAACTTGACCTAAGACCAGTTCTGGCTCATAATAAATGTGATGTGATGCTGCCCAGCAAAAACTCAATTATTTTATTTAGTTTTTTTATTTTTTGATTATTTTATGTAATAGAATAAAAAAATTGTATTTAGGATAATTTGGCTATATTTTAATTGTAGTTTAAGTAGATGGTTGTATGAGAAAAAATGATTAATTGATGAATAGAATGTGACATTTTATATTATTGACTATATCAACTCTCATATAATGTGGACCTAAAATATTGTTTGAGGCCATAAACCTGAATGGATGGTATCTTCAACAGCTTAAGATTGCCACAGATTTCTTTTGTTAAACTGTCAGCGTGGAACTTGGCTAACCATTGAATTTGTGATTAAATTACTTGTTGAATTCTCAATCACTTTATTTTCATTATGGTTTTAGTGGATGCTATGTTGTTGTTCATTTAAATTACTTCCCATCAAGGTTTGATCATATGCAATTGAACTGAACGGGTTTAAATTTCAGGCTATTGAGCTTAGATCTACGAATGATTGGCTCTGAAGGTTCAGGAAACTACAATTTCTTTTGTTTTTTAAAATTTTTTAATTCCTGTTAATGAATACTTGATCAAATATGCTGCAAGTTCACTTCAAGTATTTCTTTTATTCTTATTAACGAATACTTGATTAGACTAGGTATACCTTTAAATTTTTTTCTTTTTTGATAAATAAATGATATATCTTTAATTTTTGGATAGATGAATATGTGCATCTGTTGGTTAAAGCTTCTTCTCTTAATATGCCTGTGCATATTTTGTCCAAGCGTAAAAAGATAACAATTTGCACAAATTTGATGTGTAATTTTTTTTGTGTTGCTTATGTCTATCACCAACTACTTAGGCCCCTCGTTTGGCATCCAACCATTTTAGCCTAAAGTCAAAAAATCACTAACAAAACCAAAAAACCTACCATTTTATCCTACAAACCTATGCACAGTTGAAACCGGGAGCATCTATTTGCACACACTCAATCCTCTATTTGCACATCCTTCTTAATTCACACACCTAAAAAAATAAAAAATAAAATATTTACTCATTACACACACATTTATTCCAATTATATCCCCCATTTTTTACAACTTTCCTACCCTCCCAATCCATACACCTTCTAGACCGGCGACCACCGCGTCAGCAACCACCTCGTCGGCGGAGACGCAAACCATTGTTACCACCTCCCTTCCAGTCGTTATTCCCACCCCTTCTTCCACCCACCGGCGACAATACCG